CAGCAGAAGTTGTCGAGGCAGTTGTCGAGGTTGTCGAGGCAGCTTTCGCGGAGTCCTCCCGCGAAAGCTGCCTCGGTCCTGGGAGACTCGCAGCGCCCTGCTCAAGTGAGTGGCCCCGCAGACTCAGTACGGTGCGCGGCGCATGACGGAGCAAACGCCGGGGTAGCCATTGGGGAATCCCCGCGCTCCAGCGCAGCGCGGGGATCCCCTATGAATGCTGCCCTGGCTCCGGAGGGGTCACTGCGCTCTGACGCAGCGCGGGACCCCTGCGAGAATGCTACCGCTACCCCGGGTGGACCTCCTCGCTCTGACCCAGCGTGGGGTTCCCCCGTGGACAGCGCTGTGCCCTCTGTTGCTGCTGGAGGACCTCCTTGTCCGGACTCAGTGCGAGGCTCTCCCACGCCACCCCGCGCCCCAGTCTCAGTCCGTCCAGAACCGCCTCGGTCTCCTTCACTCTCTCCCAACCCTCCGCTCTTATCTCGGTCTCCTTCACTCTCTCCCAACCCTCCGCTCTTATCTCACGGCACCACCGCAAATGCTCCTGGTCTCGCCCTGCCCGCTCAGGTCCCTCAGCGCCCATCTCCCCCCACTACGATAACTCCATCCTCCCCCCGACCATTGTTCGCACCCACAACTCTTCTGGTGGGTGACTCCATCATTAAACGCTGCAGGTTTTTTAATGTTTCCACTCACTGTTTCCCTGGAGCCACTGTCACTTCACTGCTGAACAAATTACCTGCCCTTCTTATAAACGCCCCCACTACAATAACCCGTCTTATTATCCATATCGGTTCAAATGACAGTTCATCCCGCCACTCGGAAATCACAAAACTGCATTTTAGAGACCTTTTTAACTTTTTATCAGAATCTGGATTATCTGTTTTTATCTCCGGCCCTCTACCCACTCTCAACCGAGGAGATGAACGTTTTAGCAGAATTCTAGCTCTTCACACTTGGCTCAAACAAGCATCAACCCTCCTCAACTTTGGTTTTATTGACAATTTTAATTTATTCTGGCACCGCTCCTCCTTCTTCAGACCTGATGGCCTTCATATCAACCCTCTTGGAAACCGCTTTCTCACATCCAATATCATCCATTCAGTACAGTCTCACTCCACCTACAACTGACTATCTGCCTCCTCACCCCCCGTATCACCTCCTCACCGACCCAGCCCCAGCTCTCCCCCTCAGTCAATCCCTGTCATCTCCAGACCCCGACCCCACAGGACCTCCTCCAGAGAACTCTCCCTCCCCTGTCTCATCCCGGTTCCCCTTTGCTCCTCTACAGCCCTCACTCCGGACCCTGTACCTACAATCTTTGGACTTCTAAACATCAGATCCATCAACAATAAATCCTTCATCTGTCAGGACTTCATCACATACAACAACCTGGACTTCATGATTTTAACAGAAACATGGCAAGTGCAAGGCGACTGCACCCCCCTCATTGAAGCGACCCCCCCGGACTACACCTTCCTCCACCAACCAAGACTCTGCGGTAAGGGAGGGGGGGTTGCAGCCATCTTTAAGAACACTTTTAAATGCACTCCTGGATCACAAAATGTTTTTACTTCATTTGAACACCTGTCTCTTATCATTTCTTGTAAAACCCCAGTGTTTGTTTTAATTATTTATAGACCCCCTAAACCCAGCACTGTTTTTATTCAAGAATTCTCTGATCATTTATCCCAGTGTATGGCCCTCCACAACAAAGTTTTAATCTTAGGTGATTTTAGCATTCATGTCTGCTGCCCACATAAACCACACCCTTTAACCTCTGATTTTATTGATCTAATTGAGTCTTTTAATCTTCTTCAAATTATAAATGCTCCGACCCATTCTAAGGGCCATACACTGGACCTGGTTTTAACGTTTGGTCTCAGCGCAGGAAATGTCATCACCAAGGATATCTGTGTGTCGGACCACTTAGCTATTTTATTCGACGTTATTTTAGCCCCTCAGTCTGCCTCCAATGGGTCATTTTATCACTCTCGTGTTTTTAACTCCACCTCTGCTCTTAAATTTTCCCAACTTTTTACTGCAGCCTCCTTGACTACTTTTAACCAACATTTTAGCCTGGAGGAGCAGGTCTCCTCCTTTTATCAAACATCACATAGGATTTTAGACACGATTGCACCTTTTAAACAAAGAAACCCCACCAGAACACCACAACCATGGCTCAATGAAAACACTCGAAAGCTCTTACAGTCATGCAGACAGCTCGAACGGAAATGGAAAAAATCACACCTTACAGCATTTCACCTCGCCTGGAAAGACAGTCTCAAACAATATCAACACGTAGTCAAGGAAGAAAGAACTTTATTTTATTCAAACACTATCACCCAAAACAAATCGAATCCCAGAGTTTTATTTAAAGTTTTAAACTCTATTATAAATCCCAGTCCCTGTGTTTTTAGTGATTCATCCACTGAACAGTGTGAATTATTTTTAAACCATTTTATTCAAAAGATAACAGATATCCGGACCCAAATATCTGCTCCTAGCCAAGCCACTGTTTTAAATAGAGAAACTCTGGATTTTAGTTGTTTTACAAATTTTATGCCTTTATCCCTTTCTCTTTTATCTGACATTTTATTCCGCATGAAACCAACCACGTGCAGCCTCGATGTCATCCCCACCAAATTTCTCAAAGATGTTTTTAATGTGGTTGGACCCTCCATTTTATCAATCCTTAATCAGTCCCTGGATCAAGGTCTTGTCCCATCCAGTTTTAAACATGCTGTGGTCCAACCACTTTTAAAGAAGCCTAATTTAAGCACTACCGATTTTAACAATTTTAGACCCATTTCTAAACTCCCGTTTTTATCTAAGGTTTTAGAGAAAATTGTTTCTATTCAGATTTTAGATTTTATTAACAATAACCACATCTTTGAGAAATTCCAATCCGGTTTTAAAGCACAACACAGTACTGAGACAGCTCTCCTTAGAGTTTTAAATGACCTTCTTTTAACCACGGACAGCGGAGAGTGCTCTATTTTAATTCTTTTAGATTTAAGCTCTGCCTTCGACACTATAGACCACGATATTTTATTGGATCGCCTCAAAACGTGGGTTGGCATCAGAGATACTGCACTTGGTTGGTTTCATTCTTATCTTTTAGAAAGAACCTTTGCGGTCACCATGGGTGATTTTACCTCCTCAACAGCCCCCATCACCTGTGGTGTGCCGCAAGGTTCTATTTTAGGCCCCATTTTATTCTCTATTTATATGCTCCCCCTAGGACACGTTATGGCCCGTCATAACGTGTCCTTCCACTGCTATGCGGACGACACACAGATCTACCTCCCGCTGAGACCAAACGACCCTGGAAGTCTGGCTGCTGTGGTCGACTGTTTTAATGATGTGAACCGTTGGATGGCCCATAACTTCCTTCAACTCAACACCTCCAAATCAGAAGTCCTCCTCATCAACCCGCCTCCATCCATATCCCACATCCAAACCCACCTCGGCCCCCTGTCCTCAAACATCACTCCCTCCGCCCGTAACCTCGGTGTCATTTTTGATTCTCACCTCACCTTCCGCTCCCACATCAATAAAACCACCCAAACCTGCTTCTATCACCTCCGCACCATCTCTAAGATTAAAAACATTCTCACTCCTCCCGATCTCCATAAAGTCGTCAACGCCCTCATCTTCTCCCGCCTCGATTACTGTAACTCCCTCCTCTCCGGTCTTGATGCTAAATCCCTCTCCCGCCTCCAACTGGTTCAGAACGCAGCAGCCAGACTTCTCACTGGTTTTAACAGAAGGGAGCACATCACCCCTGTTTTAGCGTCCCTCCACTGGCTCCCTGTGCGATTTAGAATTGATTTCAAGATTTTACTGATTACTTTTAAAGCTCGTTTAGGTCTGGCACCAAGCTATATTTATGAACTTTTAACCCCCTACGAGCCCCCCCGCAGCCTTAGATCCTCGGGCAGGTCCTTGCTGACCATTCCAAGGTCGAGGCTCCGGACGAAAGGTGATCGAGCCTTTTCTGTCCGGGCTCCTCGGCTTTGGAACGACCTGCCCGAGGAGAAAGGCTAGCACCATCAGTATCCTCTTTTAAATCTCTTCTTAAAACCCACTTTTATAAAACAGCTTTTAATTGTCAGCTTTAAACTTATAATGTTGTATTTTACTGTCTGTCCTGTCTGTTTTGTGGTCTTGTGTTTCCTCTGTTTGTCTTGTCTTCTTGCATTCATTCTTATTGTTTTAACTTTGTATTATGACTGATGTATTGTTTATTATGCTGTGCAGCACTTTGTAAACATTGTTTTTGAAAAGTGCTTTATAAATAAAGATTTATTATTATTATAAGTTTGGTAAAGTTAGCGTCAGATTCGGACCTCCGCGGTCAATAGCTCACGAAAGCTACTTTGTTAAACAAAATGAATTGTGCCAAAATGACCATTTACATCAATTGTTCAAATCCAATGTGCTGTTTTAATGCACATAAATCCATTGAATCATTCAGTTCACTGCAAGCGCAGAGAAAAGCGCTTAGGGAGCGTCAACAAATGGCAAGACCAGCTTTGTAAACGAACAATAGCTTTTACTAAAGCCATGTACCTGCACAAAACTCTCAGACACAACAAAAAATGACCATGTCTAACAGCTGCAGGCTTTGATTTCAACATTTGTGAGTTTTTTTATTTTTTAAATGAATACAGGTTTTTCTTTTCTTTTTTAAAATTGCTTTTACAGTAAATGGTCTTTACTGTAACACACATAAATAATGTATGTTACAGCATTTGTCTCGTCATTTGTCTCACAACTAAAAAAAAATATATACTAGATTCTAATATATAAATAAGTAACAATCTTGACTATTTTATGCAAGAACCTGCTAGACCTATATTGAAATTCACACACCAAATTATACCGCAATATATACCGTCTACCGTCTGTGACCCAAATTATACCGCAATATGAATTTTAGGCCATATCGCCCACCCCTAGTTCGTACCTTGGGAAACTTGCTCTACGAAGGTACGTACCTTGGGGAACTTGCTCTCCTCGTCGATGAGGGAGATGATGTTGAGGGGCTTGATGGCGATCATGTCCAGAGCTTCCTGGTTGTCGCTGAACTCGATGTGTTTCCAGGAGATGTCCTCGAGGTTGTACTCCTCCTGCTCCAGTTTGAACACGTGACGCACGAAGAACTGCTGCAGACTCTCGTTGGCAAAGTTTATGCACAGCTGCTCGAAGCTGCACGGGTCACATGGTCCACAGGTCACATGGTCAGGTGGTCACATGGTCCAAAGGTCACATGGTTCATCTTTAACCATATATGGACATAAATGAACATGTATGTCCTTAAATGTCCATAACACGTTCCCTTCTGCATGAAAGAAAGCCCTGTCATTATTTCTATAAATCCAAATGTATTGACCTGAATAAATGAGTGAGCGTAAATGTTCTATAGCCTCTGCCACAGACTTAAACCCTGCCTGTGGGTAATGACCACTGTGGGTAATGAACCCTCAGAGAGACACTTAAACCTTGCCTGTGGGTAATGAACCCTCAGAGAGAGACACTTAAACCCTGCCTGTGGGTAATGAACCCTCAGAGCGAGACACTTAAACCCTGCCTGTGGGTAATGAACCCTCAGAGAGAGACACTTAAACCCTGCCTGTGGGTAATGAACCCTCAGAGAGAGACACTTAAACCCTGCCTGTGGGTAATGAACCCTCAGAGAGAGAGAGACACTTAAACCTTGCCTGTGGGTAATGAACCCTGTGGGTAATGAACCCTCAGAGAGAGAGAGACACTTAAACCATGCCTGTGGGTAATGAAACCTGTGGGTAATGAACCCTCAGAGAGAGACACTTAAACCCTGCCTGTGGGTAATGAACCCTCAGAGAGAGACACTTAAACCCTGCCTGTGGGTAATGAACCCTCAGAGAGAGACACTTAAACCCTGCCTGTGGCTGTGGGTAATGAACCCTCAGAGAGAGAGACACTTAAACCCTGCCTGTGGGTAATGAACCCTCAGAGAGAGAGACACTTAAACCCTGCCTGTGGGTAATGAACCCTCAGAGAGAGAGACACTTAAACCCTGCCTGTGGGTAATGAACCCTCAGAGAGAGACACTTAAACCCTGCCTGTGGGTAATGAACCCTCAGAGAGAGACACTTAAACCCTGCCTGTGGGTAATGAACCCTCAGAGCGAGACGAGGCTGAACCTGTTCACAGTGAAGTCCTCGAAGCCGAAGATGTCCAGCAGACCGATGGACCTGCGGAGGGCGCCGCTGTGGCAGGACGGGGGTCTGTAGATCGCAGCGTTGATCTTGTCCACAATCCACACAAACAGACGGCCGTAGATGCCCTGAACACAAACACACATCATTATGAGTCACTTTGGGACTTCGTCCAAAGTCCAATGAGGCCCTGATGCCTTTGTCACTGAGGGAGTCTCGGATCCTGCATGTATTCATTACTCAGACGGGAAGAAAGGACACCATAGTTGAATGAATGAATTAATTAATGAAGTTTCTGTTAGTCTTACACATTGTTACCGAGAAGTATTACAAATGTTATTAGAATAAGTGAAACGTCGGTTTTAACACGAATGTCCCACATTTTAGAATCTTTTTTTAAGATGAGTCCTGGTCCCTGACCCTGGAGGTGGGAGAAGAATCCGGAGCACCCGGAGGAAACCTGGAATCTCCAAACATGTGGACTCTGCACGTCACACAACAGGACTCTGGCCTTTTCCCTCTTTTCCCACAGACGGGCGTCCTGTCACGTGGCCTTGGCACTCAATAATAACAGGGAGGTCTTGGTCCGAGTATAATACTGCAACCCTAACCCTGAACCCGGTGTGTACCTGAACCCGGTGTGTCCCTGAACCCGGTGTGTCCCTGACCCGGTGTGTCCCTGAACCCGGTGTGTCCCTGAACCCGGTGTCCCTGAACCCTGTGTCCCTGAACCCTTTGTCCCTGAACCCGGTGTGTCCCTGAACCCTGTGTCCCTGAACTTTTTGTGTGTCCCACTGAGACCACTACAGGAACTTGAGAGGATCATTTCTCCCCAAACTTCAGAAGTGTTTTACTGATCCAGGTTAGGGTTGTGTTGTTGTGTTGTGTTGGTGAGGGTTATGTTGTTGGGTCGTTGAGGGTTGTGTTGTTGAGGGTTGTGTTGTGTTGTTGTGTCTTTGAGCAGCGCACCTTGACAAAGGCGTCCCTGACGTCCAGCCCCTGGGCCATGCTGAGGGGGGTACAGACGCTCTCCCCGCGGGTGATGAGGGTGCGAGTGCTCAGACACAGCATCACATCTTTGGGCTCCACCTGCAGGACACACGCAGTACTGCACTTCAACATATAAATCCCTCTATAGTTATACTTTGAGATTTAAACTCTAAGAGCACAGGGACTGGCCTCCTGCTGGGACCCTGAGGAACACAGGGACTGGCCTCCAGCTGGGACTCTGAGGAACACAGGGACTGGCCTCCAGCTGGGACTCTGAGGAGCACAGGGAACCCGTGCTCCTCAGAGCTGGTCGCAGAGTCAGGACTAAACATGTGGAGGCAGTGTGTCTGGAACAGTCTTCCTGAAAATGTGAGACAGATTCTTCTCTGACAAAGTTTAAATCCAGGTGAAAAGAGATGATTCTGCAACAACTGAAGGATTTTATCTTTAATCTTTTTAATGTGATTCTTTTTGATGCCTTGTTTTGGTCAGTATTGAGGACCTCAGAGACACAGGGCCTTCAGACTGAGGACCTCAGAGACACAGGGCCTCCAGACTGAGGACTTCAGAGACACAGGGCCTTCAGACTGAGGACCTCAGAGACACAGGGCCTTCAGACTGAGGACCTCAAAGACACAGGGCCTTAAGACTGAGGACCAGAATGACCTACCTCCAGCAGAGACGCCGCTGTGCTCAGGTCGGGGGAGCGCACCACCACACAGGCGTCCAGGTTCTCGTAGGTGCGTGCTGTAGAAACCGGACAAAGTGCTTAGTACTTTCACACATCACAAAGTAAGTGTCTACTTTGTATACCGTACTTTCTGGACCGTAAGCCGCAGGTTTTCATGTTTAATGTCACACACAGGATTAAATGAAATGGTTTTTGGCAGCTTCACCGTTAGCTTCCATGACTCATTCACCATTAGCTTCCATGACTCACCATTAGCTTCCATGGCTACTTGACCGTTAGCTTCCATGACTCACCATTAGCTTCCATGGCTACTTCACCTTTAGCTTCCATGACTCACCATTAGCTTCCATGGCTACTTCACCGTTAGCGTAATAAAAGGCCGTACCCTGGAAGCAGAGGTTGCCCATGTGCAGGATGGCAGCCAGCAGTTTGGAGATCTCCCAGTTCTCGGTGTCGCTGAACATGAGAACCTTCATGGCCGATTGGATACTGGAGTAATCAGAGAGGTCGTTCCTGCCATCACACTCTGTGCACTGCCCCTGAGGAACACACACAGCTTAGATCAGAGCCTGTATTTGTGGTAGAGTGGGGACGTGTGGCTGTGTACGCTGTGTTCACCTGTGGATGGGAGATCGTTAATTAAATGTTGCTTTTGGATTATCTTAATATTAAATATGTGTATCACTATAGGCCTGTATATGTATCATTATATAGGCCTGTATATGTATCTGTATACAAGCCTGTATATGTATCATTATATAGGCCTGTATATGTATCAGTATATAGGCCTGTATACTGTATGTATCTGTATACAAGCCTGTATATGTATCAGTATGCTTGTGTCGTGGTTATGTCGTGGTTGTGTTGTGGCTGTTTGGATGTGTCGTGGTTGTGTAGTGGGTGTGTAGTGGTTGTGTTGTGGTTGTAGTTGTCTATTGGTGGTTGTGTCGTGGTTGTGTCGCGGTTGTGTAGTGGTTGGAGTAGTGGTTGTCTATTGGTGGTTGTGTAGTGGTTGTGTTGTGGATGTGCTGTGGTTGTGTCGTGGCTGTGTAGTGCTTGTGTTGTGGTTGTGTTGTGGTTGTGTTGTGGTTGTGTATTGGTGGTTACCATGGTGAGGTAGCAGAAGTCTGAGGCCTGGCCCAGGCCCAGCTTGGCTTTTTGCTCGGCTGGCATCCCCTTCAACATGCAGTAGAAGATGTGGTAGTTCCTCTCATCGGACGCCTGGGACACACACACACAAGAACACACACACACAGCTTCAGTAGGTGGGACTGGCCTGCAGCACAGACCAGAGCGGTCCCTCTCACCTGCCTACAGACCCGGGACTTCTCCAGGAGGTACTGCTCGATCTTGGCCCCCTCGATGGCCCCTCTCTTGTTGAAGTGGATGTCGATGTACTTCCCAAAGCGGCTGGAGTTGTCATTGCGGATGGTCTTTGCGTTACCGAAGGCTATGAAGGACGAGACAGACGGGACACACAGGATAAACGGGACATGACAAAGGGACCAAGACATGGAACCATCAGTGTAATCCTCATCTATCGGTAAAGAGAATATCCATATTAAGCCTTCAAGACTATTCAATGACTTTTATTAACCCAAGACCACTGAGACGGGAGGACATGGACAGGACTCACTGAGAAAGGAGGACAAGGACAGGACTCACTGAGAAAGGTGGACAAGGACAGGACTCACTGAGACAGGAGGACATGGACAGGACTCACTGAGACAGGAGGACATGGACAGGACTCACTCCTTCAGCTAAACTCAGGTCCAGAACCAAAGAGAGAGTGTCCTCTGTCTCCTTCAGTCCCTCCTAAAACCTTCTGATCATGTCAGATACTGTAAAGTACTATATGTAGGAGATATAGTCCTGGTCTTAGGTCTCTGCACGAGCTCAGAGCCATTGGTCCATAAGGGGCAGAGACCAATGTCCATAGGCGTCCATAAAGGTCCATAAATGTGCATGAACGTCCATAAACGTTCATAAATCTATTGAAAATATTGAGCATGAATGTTTCTTCTGCCCTCTGTTATATACAGTATAATATTTCTGCTGGAAATGACCACAGATGTGATACAATTTCATAACAATGTCCTCTGTACCCCTCTGTGTGACTGACCCTCCAGGATGGGCGTGGCTTCACTTCCCATGGATATGTCCCCTGTAACCCTCTGTGTGACGGACCCTCCAGGACGGGCGTGGCTTAACTTCCCATGGAAATGTACCCTCTGTACCCCTCTGTGTGACTGACCCTCCAGGATGGGCGTGGCCTCCAGGACCTGCTGCTCGATCCAGGAGTGCTGTCCGCTGATGGCTGCCAGGAACTGCAGGATCAGCTTGGTGCTCTCCGTCTTCCCAGCCCCAGACTCTCCACTGTCACACACACAGCAGGTGGTCAGACACACACACACACATACACAGCCACACAGACCCACACATACACACAGGCACACACACACAAACACATACATACAGACAGACACACAGACCCACACAGATCCACACAGATACACACAGACAAACACACACACACATGTGAGTGAGTACTAAGTTTAGATGTGTGAAGGTAGACAGAAGGGGCGGGCCTACCTGATGATGCAGCACTGGTCCTTGTTGCTCCTCTGCATGTTGAAGTAGCAGTTGTCAGCGATGGCAAAGATGTGCGGAGGCAGCTCTCCGATCTTCCTGTTGGTGTAGAGTCGGATCTGCTCGGCCGTGTAGATGGGCAACACCTGGTACGGGTTCACAGCCACCAGGATGGAACCAGTGTACGTCTGTGGAGAAACCATCAGGGCATCAGGGGCACATCAGGAGATCATCAGGAGCACACCAGGGACTCAGGCTTCAGCAGCACAAGCACTTTGGTTTGTCTTTGGTACTTGGTACTAGCTTATGCACCTGCAGTCTCTGGGCTGCTGCAGCGTCACCACAACATCCACCCACATCCCATGTGCTGTATGACCACCACTTTATGCTACGTCACTTGATGCTATGCCACTTTATGCTACTGTCACTTTATGCTATGTCACTTGATGACACATCACTTGATGCTACTGTCACTTGATGCTACTGTCATTTTATGCTACTGTCACTTGATGCTACTGTCACTTTATGCTACGTCACTTGATGCCACATCACTTGATGCTACTGTCACTTGATGCTGCTGTCACTTGATGCTACATCACTTGATGCTACTGTCACTTGATGCTACTGTCACTTGATGCTACTGCCACTTTATGCTACTGTCACTTTATGCCACGTCACTTGATACTACTGTCACTTGATGCTACTGTAACTTTATGCTAATGTTACTTGATGCCAAGTCACTTGATGCTACGTCACTTGATGCTACGTCGCTTGATGCCACATGATTTGATGCTACTGTCACTTGATACTACGTCACTTGATGCTACTGTCACTTTATGCCACGTCACTTGATGCTACTGTCACTTTATGCCATGTCACTTGAAGCTACTGTCCCTTGATGCTACTGTCACTTTATACTAATGTCTCTTCACTGCACTGCTGACGCTCTGTGCTTATTGCACTTGTAAATAGTAGTAATTTAAAGACATTTTATGAAGATTATTTTGTGCCGTTACCTTTTTAGAGCCAAAGCAAATTCTTAGTGTGTTACTTCCTGTTTCAAACGATGTCAACACATAATAATTCTGGTTCTGATTCTAAAAACTGAAACAACAATCAAGTTCAATTTGCATTTGATTCGTGTTCATTATATACATGCAGACATCTGTTGCCGATTGCTTTAATCATCACTAGAAAAGCACCATCACTTTGATCGCAGCATCAGTCTCATTCACGGCCGTTTGTGAGGGTTTGGAAAATACTTAACTTAACTTAACTTAAACAAGGTTAAACCGCGAGGTCCGCGTCATGAATGAGCTTCTCATGACTGCGGACCGGGGCTCACCCTCTCTCCTCCTCCTCCTCGATCTCTCAGCAGCTTTAGATACCGTGGACCACACCATCCTCCTCCATAGACTACAATCAGTAATTGGACTTTCTCAGACAACACTCAAATGGTTTCATTCATATCTCACTGACAGAACAGAATATGTATCCCTAGGCCAGTACAAATCTTCACCCCATTCAGTTACTTGTGGGGTACCGCAAGGCTCAGTCCTCGGGCCGACCCTTTTTACCATATACTGTACATGCTCCCTCTTGGTCATATCATCAACAAATACAACATTTATTTCCACTGCTACACCGATGATACACAGTTATACCTGAAAATGGACTCCACTTCACCCACAATTTTTCGGTCAGCACTTCAGCTTTATCTGGAGGAGATAAAGGCATGGATGGACAACAATTCTCTTAAACTCAACAGTGGTAAAGCTGATGCAATCCTCTTTGGCACCCCCAACAAACCCAGTCCTCCCCTCTCAGCAGTGTTTCCATTTTTGGCCATAACATCCCCCTGTCCACCTCTGTTAATAACCTTGGAGTCAGGCTCGACTCTAATTTTACATTTGACACCCACATCCGCCACCTCTGTAAAGTCTCTTTCCTTCACCTCAAAAACATTGCCAGGCTCCGCCCCTTCCTCTCACAACCGGACGCTGAGAAGCTGATCCATGCCTTTATCTCCTCCAGGCTGGATTACTGCAATGCCCTCCTTGTCGGGACCCCCGCAAAGAGTCTGGAAAAACTTCAGAATATCCAGAACTGTGCTGCCCGGGTCCTAACGAGGACCCATCCTCAAATCACTCCACTGGCTGCCCATCAAACACAGAATACAGTACAAACTCTGCCTCCTCACATATCAATGCACACACGGAACTGCCCCTGCCTAACTCAGTGAACTCCTAACATCACACACCGCCTCTTGAAGTCTCCGTTCAACCACCTTTTCCCACTGCCTCCACCAACCCAGGACCAAACTCTCCACCATGGGAGACAGGGCCTTTCAGGTAGTAGCCCCTCGGCTCTGGAATGCCCTCCCAAAGAACCTCAGGCCTCCTCATAGTGTGGAGGCTTTCAAGAAAGGCCTAGAGACATTTTTATTCAAACAGACCTTTTAGAAATGTGCAGTAGTTATGTTTTTATGTTTTATGATGGTGTCTATATTTGATGTATTGTAAAATGTTTTTAATTTTTAATGCTGTGTATCTTGGGGATGTTCCCTGTTTTGTAGCACTTTGAGATTTCGCTGAAAAGTAAAGTGCATTATAAATAAAATGTATTATTATCATTATTATTATTATTATAAACCAGTGATGACAACAGCAGAACAATCAGAAGTGATAACAACAGCAGAACAATCAGAAGTGATGACAACAGTAGAAAAATCAGAAGTGATGACAACAGCAGAACAATCAGAAGTGATGACAACAGCAGAACAATCAGAAGTGATAACAACAGCAGAACAATCAGAAGTGATGACAACAGCAGAACAATCAGAAGTGATGACAACAGTAGAACAATCAGAAGTGATGACAACAGCAGAACAATCAGAAGAACTTTTCATTGGTGTCATTGGTGAAAGGTGCGTGTTTACTTCCTGCTACAAGAAACTTGTATGTGGGATTTAATCATGTTTTAGCAACAGTTTAATAAAAATTACATTGTTTTAGTGCACAAAAAAGGGGACGCAAAGCAGCAAGAGGTGGTGACTGATGCACATCTGCGTGTGTGTCTGCCTCTGTGTGTGCTTCTGCCTCTGCGTCTGCCTCTGCCTCGGCGTGTGCGTCTGCCTCTGCGTGTGCATCTGCCTCTGCGTGCGTCTGCCTCTGTGTGTGCGTCTGCCTATGCCTCTGCCTCTGCGTGTGCGTCTGCCTTTGCGTATGCCTCTGCGTGTGCGTCTGCCTCTGTGTGTGCGTCTGCCTCTGCGTGTGCCTCTGTGTCTGCAAATGCCTCTGCGTGTTTGTCTAGGTGTACCTCTGTGTGCGCGTCTGCATGTGAATCTGCGTGTGCGTCTGCGTGTGAATCTGCGTGAGCGTCTACATCTGCATGTGTGTCTATATCTGTGTGCCTCTGCGTCTGCATTTGCCTCTGCATGTGCGTATAGGTGTGCGTCTGCGTGTGAATCTGCGTGAGCGTCTACATCTGCATGTGTGTCTATATCTGTGTGCCTCTACGTCTGCCTCTGTCTGCATATGCCTCTGCGTGTTTGTCTACGTGTACTTCTGTGTGCGCGTCTACATGTGAATCTGCGTGTGCGTTAGTGTTATTTATAGATGAATACGGATGTTATTCACAGGTGAAATCATGCTTAACGTAAGATGGTAAATTTAAGAACATGAGGAAACAACCCTAGTTACTTCAACTACTAACTACTTGCTGTATCTGCATGTTTGTGTGCGTCTCTGTGTGCGTCTGCGTGTGTGTCTGCATCTGCATTCCCTCTGTGTGTGCGTCTGCGTCTGCGTGTGTGTGTGTGTCTCTGAGTCAGCGTTATTTACAGATAAAAATCATGCTTAAATTAAGATGGTAAATTTGAGAGCATGAGGAACAAACCTTTGTTACTTTAACTACTAACTAGTTGTTCTTTGAAGTCTCGGTAACTGACTGTTTTAAGTCACGTGACCTACAGTGTCTGTATTTCATGATGGAGCGCCCTCGCTGCCGTTTTGACACATCTATATCGGGTTAAACTGGATATTGCTTCACAGTCTTGGTTAGTTAGACCTGTGTCTCAGAGTCGTATAAATGACACTGATCAAAGTTTGTTATCTAAATGACTGGCAGAACACTGTACTCACCCTGCCTCAGACAGACTCACAGGGACTTCAACTCAGTGATTATTCTACAGTACAGACTCACAGGGACTTTACTCAGTGATTATTATACAGTACAGACTCACAGGGACTTCAACGTAGTGATTATTCTACAGTACTGACTCACAGGGACTTTAACTTAGTGATTATTCTACAGTACAGACTCACAGGGACTTTAACTTAGTGATTATTCTAAAGTGTGTGTCCGACACTGGAGCACCTCAGGGGTGTGTCCTAGGTCCTGTCCTCTTCTCTTTGTTCCTCTAAAACAAACCTGATCATCCCTGTGCTACTGTCATCCAAGTAGCTCGCCACCCCCTTCCAAGTAGCTCGCCACCCCCTTCCAAGTAGCTCGTCACCCCCTTCCAAGTAGCTCACGACCCCCTTCCAAGTAGCTCGCCAAAGAATTTAGAAATGAACTAATCAAATGACTTACTTAATATTTCAGCTAAAATTATTCCGTTTATTATTGTAAATGCACTTTGTCAGAGTTACAAATATGTTAACAATGTTAGGCTCAATCACAGGACAGAATATAGGAGTATCTCTCTGCCTTTATCGTGCCAGGAAAGTAGCTCTCTGCCTTTATCATGCTGGGAAAGTAGCTCTCTGCCTTTATCGTGCTGGGAAAGTAGCTCTCTGCTTTTATCGTCCTGGGAAAGTAGCTCTCTGCCTTTATCGTGCTGGGAAAGTAGCTCTCTGCCTTTATCGTCCTGGGAAAGTAGCTCTCTGCCTTTATCGTCCTGGGAAAGTAGCTCTCTGCCTATATCGTGCTGGGAAAGTAGCTCTCTGGGTGAAAAAGGATTGGATTAATTGAAGATTTTTACTTAATCTCGTTCCAAATCTCTGTGTGGAGTGAGAGGACAAGTGCCCAAAAATAACAATTGTAAACCGCTTTGTGACTCTGGTCTGTGAAAGGCGGTATATAAATAAAGCTTACTTACTTACTTACTTACCAAATAGTGCTTGAGTAAGGTGCTTCTGTGTTACGTGGTGGTGCTTGAGTTAGGTGGTGGTGCTTGAGAGAGGTGCTTGAGTGAGGTGCTTCAGTGTGAGGTGGTGGTCCTTGAGTGAGGTGCTTCAGTGTGAGGTGGTGGTGCTTGAGTGAGGTGCTTCAGTGTGAGGTGGTGGTGCTTGAGTGAGGTGCTTGAGTGTGAGGTGGTGGTGCTTGAGTGAGGTGCTTGAGTGTGAAGTGGTGGTGCTTGAGTGAGGTGCTTGAGTGTGAGGTGGTGGTGCTTGAGGTAGGTGCTCACATAGATGACCCTGTCGATGTAGCGGATCAGGAGGTTGCGCAGGATCCCGGCCTCGTTGAGGTCCCCGAGGCGGATCATGTCCTGGACCCCCTGGAGTGAGGTCGGGTGCATGGGCTTCAAGTTGGAGGAGGCATTCTGAGGAGAGACCCAGTGCTCCTGCAACACACACAGAGACACACACACACATGATCACACATGGTCTATAACAACACATGGTCCATAACAACACATGGTACATTATAACACATGTTCCATAAAACACATGGCCTATAATAACACATGGTCTATAATAACACATGGTCCATAATAACACATGGTTCTTAATAACACATGGTCCATAAAACACAAGTTCTATAATAACACATGGTCCTTAATAACACATGGTCTATAATAACACATGGTCCCTAATAACACATGGTCTATAATAACACATGGTCCACAGACGATGGTTTAACCCAGTTTCATGAATGTGATGCTTGAACCAGTGGGGGCGGGTCCCGGTTCGAAAGTGGCCAAAATGACGTGCGCTGACGTGCTGAAATACCACCCCGGGCCTGTGGGGGTGGACCCGGAATAAGAATTAGCCAATGCTAACATATAGCATCTTCTTACCTCTCAAAAATGTCTTTACTCCGTTCCACATGTGTGTCAATGCTGAGGGGAGTGTTCTGATGCGTTTTTTCAAATTTTCCAGCCCCCGTGGCCATTTTGAAACTTCCCATAGACCGCGGCACATTAGTTAGAATGGAATGGCAGAGATATTAACAGTCTATCGTCCTGAACATGAGTCTGGACCCGTCCAGGACCAACCTGTCTCCTTGGACCAACAACTATGACGTCATGATTCTACACCTCCACAGTATATGAACTTCCTGTGGCTCCAAAAATAGACTTTAAAGCAGCTCTGGCCTCTAGGGAGCACAGGGACAGGCCTCCTGCTGGGACTCTGAGGAGCACAGGGACTGGTCTAACCTGTCCCTCGTCGTCCAGAACCTGGATCTGTCTGGAGTCGCAGAGTTTGACCACGGCTCCCACTGGAACATCAAACTGTCGACCGGTCTGAAGGTCCAGCCACACATAGTCCCCCTGCAACACACACACGTGCACGCACACACACGCACATGCACACGTGCACGCACACACACACACACACACACACACACACACACACACATACACATACACACACACATATCATGTTAGCAGATAATGAATGTATATTGTATGGTTAATTTGTCCTTTATTGGTATTAATTAAGAACTTATAAATCCTTATTCAACAAAGCAGTTACTTATATTGTGCTCCCTGTGTGTCTTATTACTGTCCTGTCAGTGCGCTGCAACACTGGAAAGTCCCCAGTTGTTAATCCACAGGTTTATAATAACAGTTATTTTTCTGATCATGAAGCAATGAATGTGGACAAAAGATACACAACTATAACTTATTTCAACTGTTTTCTACAAATACATCTGAGCAAAGCATTCACACACACTGAAAACAGTAACAGCAACACAAAGACACACTCTCACACACACTGAAAACAGTAACAGCAACACAAAGAGACACACACACAGGCACACACACTGAAAACAGTAACAGCAACACAAAAACACACACACACACAGGCACACACACTGAAAACAGTAATAGCAACACACAGAGAGACACACACACACACACACAGACCTGCTGCAGGATGACCATGGCTCAGTCTCTGGTGGATGCTGGACGTCCTCAGCGCAGGACTCTGCACACACACACACACACACACACACACACAGATGAAGGAGACCGTCACACACATCATTCTGTCAGAGAGAAAACTCTCCATGTGAATTAATTAATGAATTAATTAATGGGAATGAATGAATTAATGAATGGAAATTAATGAATGGGATGTAATGAATCAAATCGAAGGTTGGCTCTTCATAGGAACTTAAATATAGTTTCATCTTAACTAAAACAAAAAGAGGCAGAATCAGGTCCTTCCTCTCAGCACAGTTTCACTGTGGAGACAGCGCCCCCTGCTGGCCCTGCACCTCCATCACAGAGACTGTTGAAGGCTGCGGACTAAACAAAGGGAAGGAATATACAAGCTAGCATAACCAGCTAGCATAAATTCTTTTGCAGCTCATTCCACTTCCTGTTTTTGTTCTTCCATGAAATGATTGTTGAATAAAATAATTCAAACTAATGTCTACAAACAAATCAGTTGGAGACATTCTGCTCTTGTGACTTGTTTATATTGTGTTTATTATTATTTTGTTTATTTTCATGCTCGGATGTGACACATATTTAACAAACCGGACATAGTTAGTTTCCAGTATGGAGCATTCCCAAAATTCCTCAGCTTAACTTCCCAATTTATCTGAAACTTTCCAGAAATGTTCGGCCCTTTGCAGCTCCAACATCACCCCCACCACGGGAACTTCTCCACCGACTCCCACTGAGGTCTGCTGTCGTTGTGTCCTTGGGCAAGACACTTAACCTCTGGGAACAGCAGGTGCCACAGCGGCTGTAAAGTGCCAAACTGCCGTTGTGTCCTTAGGCAAGACACATCCCCCACATTAGAATGAGTCTGGTGTGTGTGTGAATGGTTGTTGGTAGTGGGAGGGGCCGATGGCACAGACTGGTTTCCTCGCTTCTGTCAGTGTGTCCCAGGGCAGCTGTGGCTACAGTAAAAGTTTATCACCACCGTGTTTGGAGAGAAAGAATAATGATGTGAAGTGTCTGTGTGTCCAAAAAAAGCGCTATATAAAACCAATGTATAATTATTATTATTATTTGCCTTTGAGCCATTTGTGGGTTCGAGTCCACCACAAGACCTTCTCCATCAACTCCCACTGTTGTCTGCTGTCATTGTGTCCTTGGGCAAGACACTTAATCCCTCTTTGCCTGAGTGTGGGAGAACAGTATGCCCTGATGTGAGTTATGTTTATGACTATTCCTTCAACTGAATTTTTCAATTTTTCCAGATCAATAAAGTTTCTCTTCTTCTTCTGTCTCTGTCGTTTACTTCACAGAGATCTCTCTCGTCTAGAGTCAGGCCCATGTCACATCTGTCTCCAAGAGTCTGTTTGTGGAGGCGGGTTCAGTGTGACACTACGACCAATAACAGGTGATGTAGTCCGAGTCTTAGGTGTGAGTCCCAGGATCAGAAAACCACACAGTCACGTCTTATACGTTCACAAGGCCTGTTTATTTACACAGGTCCGGTCCACAGAGCTCTGCAAGGACATGGGTTCAAATGTGATGAAAATAAAAAGCGCCACAAGAGAAATGTGCAAAGACCCGGGAGAAATACAACGTCTGAGGAGGACTTTGGAAAGAGTCAAAGTCAAAAGTCTGTCGTCCCAAAGACTGAGAGCAACGGCCTGAACCTGCCCTGGTCTCCTATCACAGGACTAACCAGGCCCTAACCTGCATAGCTTCTAAGGCTTGCCACGGTCATGCTTTCAGATGCAGCCATGGAACCATCAGACACACAGAAGCAGAGCCAGAGATCAGAGCTCACTGTAATCCTCTCCACAGACACGCTTAGTCAGACCATCACGCACCAGGAGGGAGACCAGAGAGAGACCAGAGAGAGACCAGAGAGAGACCAGAGAGAGACCAGAGAGAGACCAGAGAGAGACCAGAGAGAGACCAGAGAGAGACCAGAGAGAGACCAGAGAGAGACCAGGGAGAGACCCGAGAGAGAGCACAGAGAGACCACAGAGAGACCACAGCGAGACGAGGGAGAGACCAGGAAGAGAGACCAGAGAGAGACCAGAGAGAGACCAGAGAGAGACCAGAGAGAGACCAGAGAGAGAGACCAGAGAGAGAGACCAGAGAGAGACCAGAGAGAGACACCAGAGAGAGACACCAGAGAGAGACACCAGAGAGAGAGAGACCAGAGAGAGAGACTAGAGAGACACCAGAGAGAGACCAGGGAGAGAGACCAGAGAGAGAGAGAGTCCAGCATAAACCTTTATTAGTCTTGCAGTGGAGAAATGTCAGTGTCATCGTTGCACATTACAGCAGAGAAAGAAGGAAATAAGAGCACTCAGATTGCACACATCAAATAAGTCTATTATTTAAGATAATAGACAATAAAATAAAGATAAAGAATAAAATAAAATAAAATAAACTCTGGGGTTATAAATGCACTTGGTTCAGAAGTATTTTCAGATGTGTATATTGTACTTAGCAGCGAAGAATATGAGAATATGAATATGAGCAGAATAAGCATCAGAAATAATATCAACAGGTAAAGTGGCTAGTGAATGGGAAGAATGTCAGATGGATATGTAATAGACCATAGAGAGAGAGAGACCAGAGAGAGACCAGAGAGAGACCAGGGAGAGACCAGGGAGAGGGTAAGTTTCTGGGAGAGAGTACAGGTTAAACAGGACTTTCAGAATCAGTCTCTAACATCAGTTTAAGAAGGGAGGGCGACAGTGGCTCAGTCTCAGAGCTTTGACCTGTGAGCTAAAACGTTGTGGGTTCCAGTCCACCTCAAGACTTTCTGTACCGACTCCAACTGATGTCTGCTGTCGTTGTGTCCTTGGGCAAGACACTTCCCCCACATTAGAATGAGTCTGGTGTGTATGTGAATGGTTGGTGGTGGTCGGAGGGGCCGATGGCACAGACTGGTTGCGTCGCTTCTGTCAGTGTGCCCCAGGGCAGCTGTGGCTACAGTAGTAGTTTATCACCACTGTGTTTGGAGTGAAAGAATAATGACATGTAAAGTGTCTTTGAGTCTCAGAAAAAGTGTTATATAAAAGTAAATAATAATAATAATAATAATAATAATAATAATTATTATTATTAGAAGCCTCACTCCCCCAAACACAGCTCCACGGCTCGTTACAGTCATTAAGTACTGTCCCCTGTTTGACCTGTAGATTTTAATCTTTACTTGAGCAACATGTAAGTGTATGTGTGTGTGTCTGTGTGTGTGTGTGTGTGTGTGTGAGGGTGAGGTGGGGGTGAGAATAAGGTGGGGGTGGGGTTGGGGGTGAGGGTGAGGTGGGGGTGAGGTGAGGGTGAGGAGGAGGTGGGGGTGAGGTGAGGTGAGGGTGAGGTGGGGGTGAGGATGAGGTGAGGGTGAGGTGAAGGTGGGAGTGAGGTGGGGGTGAGGTGGGGGCCTCTGCAGGATTAGAGGATTCCTGAGGTTAAAGCTGCACTAACAGCTGTCTGTGCTAACTATGGTGCTAACCAGAGACCTGTGGCTTTTCTCACGAAAGCGGGGGCCATTGGTCCACTGTGATTGGTCACAATCTCATTGGTCACACTTTCTCTTCCTTGTTTCACCAAAACTCGATCTAAAATATGATGTCACGCCAGCACAAACCTGCGTTACTTATTCTTCAAAAGGCACAATGCACTGCATGGTTATGGATTGCATTTTTGTAATTAATACGAAAATAAAGTCAGTTAGTGCAGCTTTAATCTAGTGTGAGGCTGAATCATTCTCACACAAAGCTCTGGAAACGGACATTTAATATTTATGATGTTTATATTATTTAAAATATGTATAATATTTATGATTTTTTTTTATAATGGAGGTGCTGTGGGAGGTGCTGAGGGATGAAGACCACAGAACATGATCCTTCAGCTCCTATGACCATGACAGAACCTGACAGAGAACCTGACAGAGAACCTGACAGAACCTACAGAGAACCTGACAGAGAACCTACAGAGAACCTGATAGAGAACCTGACAGAAAACCTAAAGAGGACCTGACAGAGAACCTACAGAGAACCTACAGAGAACCTGACAGAGAACCTGACAGAGAACCTACTGAGAACCTGACAGAGAACCTGACAGAGAACCTACAGAGAACCTGACAGAGAACCTGACAGAGAACCTACAGAGAACCTGACAGAGAACCTACAGAGAACCTGACAGATAACCTGACTGAGAACCTACAGAGAACCTACAGAGAACCTGACAGAGAAACTGACAGATAACCTGACAGAGAACCTACTGAGAACCTACTGAGAACCTACAGAGAACCTGACAGAGAACCTGACTGAGAACCTACAGAGAACCTGACAGAGAACCTACAGAGAACCTGACAGAGAACCTACAGAGAACCTGACAGAGAACCTACAGAGAACCTGACCGAGAACCTACTGAGAACCTACTGAGAACCTACAGAGAACCTGACAGAGAACCTGCAGAGAACCTACTGGGAACCTACAGAGAACCTGACAGAGAACCTAAAGAGGACCTGACCGAGAACCTACAGAGAACCTGACTGAGAACCTACAGAGAACCTACAGAGAACCTACAGAGAACCTGACGGAGAACCTGACAGAGAACCTGATTGAGAACCTAGTAGAGAAACTACATATAACCTGCAGAGAACCTGACAGAGAACCGGACAGAGAACCTGACAGAGAACCTGACAGAGAACCTACAGAGAACCTGACAGAGGACCTGACAGAGGACCTGACAGATAACCTGACAGAGAACCTACAGAGGACCTGACAGAGAACCTGACAGAGAACCTACAGAGGACCTACTGAGAACCTACTGAGAACCTACAGAGAACCTGACAGAGAACCTGACTGAGAACCTACAGAGAACCTGACAGAGAACCTACAGAGAACCTGACAGAGAACCTGACAGAGAACCTACAGAGAACCTGACAGGAACCTACAGAGAACCTGACCGAGAACCTACTGAGAACCTACAGAGAACCTGACAGAAAACCT